TATCCTGTTGTATTTTTGGGTGATGTTTATAATCTGCAAGCTTAATGATTGAGAAGAGTATTTTCAGAGTATATTTACTGAATTTTTGGGGAAGTTACGACTCAGAGCTTTCTCTTTATTTTTTCATAGTTCCAAATGCACTACTCTAATCTACTCTGTCATGAGAAGTAGTACCTTTATATTTTCTTAGATTTGTTACAGAAGTTAAAATGTGTTAGAAGTGGTTTTCCTAAAAATACGGATGATATGGTGTATGAAATTACTGCTATGGGAATAGATTTTTGGAGAGGAATTACCCTGAGGGTATGCATATGTTTTCCTCTTCTCTTAGTATGTGTCATAGGTGCCTGCATTTTTCTTGTGGAGCAGTTCTAGATTGCAACATTCTGAATACTTTTGTTTTGCAGCATTGCATGTGACTCACTTTCCTCTTTGTATCAAGTACACTGTACTCTTAAGTCTTGATCCCTCAACAAACCTTTCCATGCTTGTCTCTCTTCTGACTTGTACTAAGAGTTGCATCTGCTTCTAATTGTTGTCCTCAGGGACTTAACTGGTTCTTTCTGAATCTTATTATGAAAAGCTTTCTTTTAAAATATGTATAGGCAGACTTAAATGATCACAAATGATGCAAAAGTAGTCAAATAAGTCAAGTGTCACAAGTTATGTCCAGCAATGTGTGCCTGAGCTGCAGCCTTGCAGCAGTGCAAGATTTGCACCTGGGAGATGTACTTTTCCAATGCTGTAGGATATTTAGCAAAGGAATTTTCAAGCATTACTGGCACATCCTAAGATGTACTTCTGTAAGAAATGTCTGTCCTGGATGCAGCAGGCATAGGAAGAAGTGATGCTTGTACGTGCATCTATCTATTTACACATGCAACGCACAAACTATCTTATGTGTGCACTTAACGATTTCCTCTTACTACTACATTTACTTAGAACTGGCACAGTGTGTTTGTCCCAAGAAGTCTGTTAGAAAAAGAAAACAAGGAGGAACTCAGTAGTTCCTCAGATGGCTATAGCAACAGCTATTTCTGAGTGATTCTCATGGTCTCACCCATAAAATAAATCAGCATAAAATTGCCCGATCAGATGGAGTATCAGGAAAGTAATCCTCAGGGAAAAGAAAATTCGGTCTTTGTAAATCTGAAATAAAGTGCATAAAGTTGCAGAATTGCATTATACTTTCTCTTTTTATTTCTAAATCAGTACCCTTTTGTTTCTTCCTTTGCAGCACTTGTGAGAAGTTGCCACAAAGATGTGTCAGATGCTGCCTGAGCCTAACTCTAAAAGCAGAAACAAACATAATATTTTGAAAAAAGCCCAGTCCCTGACTTGGATAATTATTATAAAATCGCAAGGCTTTTTATAGGTGATGGGGTTTGGTTTCAGAGAGTGAAGGCATAAAAAGAGTACAGTAACCTTTCTGCTTGAAGCACAAGTCACATCAGATTTTCTTACTTAATAAATGTATGGTGAGTACTTACTAAAATAACCAGTTAAAAGCCAGTAATAACAACTGCAAAACCCAGCTCAAAGCAGTTGCGCAAGTCTTGGAGGCGTGTAATTTTTGCTGAAAGTAGCACTGAATGTTTTTCTTGAATTCAGTTAGGGATATTTTTTCAAATGTTGGCCTTTTTTTGTTTTCATGAAGGAGTACTAAGAGCATTATTCTGCCTGTTTAGATCACGTGAATTTAATTATCCTCTCATGATGTAAATATCCTTTCATGATATGAAAATAAATGTCATTATACCTGTAGTTAAGTGAACTGGAATTTACTTTAGAGTTGTATTTATCATTTCAAGTGAGACCAGAGTAGGACGAGAGAGCCCTAGTATGAAGATAGCAAGCTCAGCAGGGTGCTAAATTATAGTCGTAGGTTTTATATCTGTTAGCGTATTAGGCCACTAAAGAAGTTATTGGAGCTGTTGATCTTGTTGCCAGTAGATAAAGGGTGCTCCTGTGAAATGCTGTTCAGCTCTGTTGGCACCTCACTGAGGCATGAATTTTTTGACCCCAAACCCCAAGTTACCTAGAGCCAAGTTTTGCTTAATTCTGAGATTGTGCTTTGATCCAGATTGTGACCTTTTAAAAATTATGCTTGGAGGTTTTGCTATTGCGATCTGCTTCCTTTTTTGAAGCCTGGCAGGTATACTTCCACTAAGAACAGTGAAAGAAATTACATTTCTTTCTGATTTAGAAGTTTATACATTAAACATTTTACAAAGTATCAGAAAACCCCATGATTTTGTTAGCGTGTTGCTAAAGCATTCAATATACTAAATGTTTCTCATGTAACTGTACTTCACATCTGCCAAAATAATCTGCCTGGTTTCATTGCTATGAAGAGGCGAGCTTGCCAAGTCCGCTCCTCCCTGGTGATGCTCCGTCAGCCTGCCTTACAGCAGAACGTTCCGTGCACCTAGTCGCAGGCAATAGCTTTCAAGTTTTCCAATAGAAGCAACCATAAATGGTACAACAAGACTTGGGAAGTTCTGAACAAGAAATAGGTGATAAGAAAAGGAACTAGAGGCGGCTAGTAAGCAGCTTGTATTTCATGAGGTCTAGCAAATGCTTAAGGCTGGATTGCTGCTGGGTGGAGCAGTCCCACTTTCTTCTCACCACAACTCCCCACTCCCTGTTTTTTCTTCCTTTTTTTCTAGCACAAAACCAACAGTTTTGGGGAACTGATCTAGTTGACGCTGACCTGAAAAATTCCAGGCAGTTGGTGTTTGGTCTTGGTCAGTTCCCTCATCTAGTTCAGTGTGTAGCCATGGAAGAGTCTGCACCAGCAGGAGAGAGACGATGGTATGGGATCACCAACGAGTAGCTGGTAGTGGGAGTGCAGTGAGATTGCTCAGTTGTAGAGAAATTTATGCTTGAAATGTTTGTGGATGTATGGCTTAGCTCTTTTAAGGTATTTTTTTTTTTGGATTCTGCACAATTGTCAGTGGTTTTTAGTAAGTAATTTATGAATTACTTAACACTGAGTATTTGATATCTGTTACTGTGCTTGCTGCTCCTTAAATTTATCAGAGATCACTGTTGATATATAATTACTTGCTTTTTCATGATACTAAATTGGAATAAAAAAAGAGATCCCTTACAGTATAGGCACTGAGATATTTAAACTCTTCCTGTATCTATCTGGTCGTTACACAAGTGTGTTTGTGATTTAAACAAACACAAAATAGAGTGGGAAGAAAGCCTCTGTTTTAAGTAACTGTATTTATTGGCTTTCATATTTTTATAAACATACCATCTCATCTCTTGTTTCATGTCTGCCTCTGAGAGTTCTTGCTCCCCATAATAGATAGATTCCTTGTTCAAAATACATACACTTTCATAAATAATAGCTGCAGAACCCTCCACAGATGTTCTTAGGAGCAGAAATGTGCTTGTCCAATAAGAAGAGTCAAATGGCAACATTTTTATCTAAAATCTCAATTAGATTTGAATTAGATTAAAATCAGGTCTAAATTAGGTTGAGTTGATCGACAAGTTGAATTTTGCAACACGTTTGAAACGTGTATTCCACTGTTGGCTTAACATCTGGCCCTGGGTGAAGGAGGGATGCTGGCTTCAGTCTCCAGCTCCTTGAGAGTGGGCCAGCAGCAAATGCGGGTGCAGCAGCTGCGTGTTGAATAGTAGGATTTGAAATCAGCAGCTGGGACTGAAAATACCGTCAGTGGCGCCTCCCTTTCATTAAAGCTTCAATTTGCAGCAGCAAACATACGTGGGAGGATGAAGAAGAGGAGAAACCTCCATACTTTGCCAAAAGTGGAGAACCCTCTGGTTCTGATGTAAAACGTAGCAATAACAAGTAAGTTTCTGATTTATCAGACAGTGCTAGTGTTAAAGACTGAAGTGGAAATCTGAATACGTTTCCCAGATCTTGGCTCCTCAGAAGACAGGAATCCCAGCAGCTCCCGAGGTAGCCAAGAGGTTGCAATTCTCATCAGGCAGTGTCCCCTGGCACTTACCAGCAGGTTTCTCTGTTCGTTTTCCTGTCCTCTGGCATCCAGAGCTGTCGTCGGCAGCGTGGTCAGCGGCTGGGGGGATCTGCTTGATGTTGGCTAGGGCAGGAGCAGAAATTGGAACGCTCTCCCACTAGTCCAGGCTTTGGCACACCCCTGGGTCTCCCTTGCAGGAAGATGGTAATTTTGCTGTTAGCACATGGGCAAATGCTGCTGCTAATCTGTTGTTTAGAAGTGCTGTGAAGCTTCATGGGTGTTTGTGGTACAGTTTAATGGTAGCACCTCAGGAGGGTTTGGTATCACAGGAGACTAAAAGGTTTGAGGGGGGTGAAGAGCCTAATTTGTTTTTTGTTGAAAGGTTATGGTTCAGGTCATTGTTAGGTGCCTTCAAAATAATGTTAATTGTAGACTAATATATAGCCTAAATAACACTGGTTATGTTGATAATTAACAGTTTATAATAGGTTAATGAAAACTTTAAGGTATTATTGAAATGCAGATTTTAAATGGCTCCGAACAGAAAAACTCAAGCCTGCTAGCTCTTCTAAACTCTTTCCTGAGAGTGCTGGTTACATTGGTACTATCTTTAAAATCACAGATGACACTTTTCTATACCTCATAGAGATCTTTGTTTTCCCCTTATCATTTTACATCTCTTTTTTTCCCTTGGATTGAAAGAGGTTTTGTATCACTTTATTTCTTAATTAAATTAAAATGTGAAAATTGAACACATGCTTAAAAAAAATGAAGTACTCAAAGGCTAAAAGAAAGAGTTGAATATGAAAATAGTTCAGTACATTATAACCTGCTACCATATGTAAAACAATAAACATATAGTTTCATAAATATGAAATAAGTGTTTTTAATAATCCAGTATCTTCCTTAGTTTTTAGATACATTTTTACACTTGCCTCAAAGCTTGACGCTAAGCTGACCCTCTCTTTAATATTAATGTACTCTGACTGTAATACTCTGTTCCTTTGCCTCTGATTAATGCTGTCTGTCAATTATTTACAGATCCAGTGGTACTGTGGAAGTTCCCAGAGGACTTTGGAGACCAGGTTGGAAACATGAGATTGAACTTTTTTTTATGTTAGAATAATAATAAAAAAGCTCTCCTATTCAGCTGTGGAGAGGCAAATGCTAATGATAGTGGGGAGGAAGTCTTCACCCAACTGGTGGCTTGGTGATTAGAATGCCTTTGTGACAGGAATATGCAATAGCAGTTGTAGAGCACTGTATATCATACTAATTCTCTGTATCACCTTATTTTCAATACAGAGTATTTTATAAGCTGTTTCTGTTGGAAGTGTTGTGTTTTTATTTGTTGTAGGATTGAAAATGTGGACAATTTATCAACAAAACTTTGCCAAACATTGATGTTATAAATCGTGTTAACAAAAATCACCAGAACAAAAAAGTTGAAGAGCTGCACACGTAGGTACATTTAATGGCATAACCTGTGGGTCCTGTTCCTTTAATCCTTTACAATGCAAGTTCTTATATATTTATTTAATAAATTTTAGAGATACCCTAGTTATTTGCTTGGGAATAAAAAATAATCCTCAGACCCTTGTAAAAGACAATGATATAAACTTAATGATTTTGAAAGTGTGAAAATCCTAGTTTCTATCTATAATTAATTCTCAAAGGAAAGTTTATACTTACAGGATTGATGGATTATTTCACTGTTTGTAGTGATAGCAAAGCTGTTAATTAGTGGTGTTTTTTTTTTTTTCCCCTGGACTATTTCATTAAAGTGACTAATATTAAAATTTAATGAAACTATTAAATTTTATTATTTCAGCAACTTTTAGATGAGTTTCTTCCATGGAAATATTTTTATTTTTGTAAACAAAAATACATAAAACCACTAAATAGAATAAATATCTCCGACTCAGTGTCTCTCTTTGCTCTTCTTTTTAGACTGATACTGAATCAAACATATTCTTCATTGGTAATATCACCACAATGGATGATCTGGAAATATTTTTATACAGTAGATCTTGATAAATTGTTGTTGTTTTGTTTTGTTTTGTTTTTTTAAATCAATAATACAAGATTCTATAAAGACAGCTGTAAGGTGATTCATGATGAAAGGAACAAATATACAAACATAGAAGGTAGGATGTCTGGTTAGGGAATAGCATTAGTCAGAAACATGTGCAGCTTGTAAGATAGTGATAAATGGTACATGAACAAAGTGCGCTGTTATATGTTCTTAGCTAGACATCCAGCAAGTTTTGATAATTTTCCTGGCTGCAGAATGATCATCTTCACTGTCATTTAAATTCTTCTTTTCTAGTTTGTTTTGTTCTTTCTCTTTTCCCTAAGAAAGGCTTGATCTTAAAAAAAGAAAAAAAAAAAGAGAGAAATTATGTATGAAGAAAAATAGGATCTTATTCAGTTAAGTCGAAGGTTATTCAAAGAACAGCTGGTGCAGAAAAATGATTAGAAGATGAAGCCCGCTAAAGACTGGAGGGCAGTCATACAAAGATCCAATAGACATACCTAATCTATAAGAAACAGAGTCCTCAGGCAGCCTTCTGCCTTTGGGCTGTGAAAAACCTACGCCTGCACATTGTGTCTCAGCAGTGTAGGCAATCTAGTGTTTCAGGTAAACTGCTTGTTTTCCTGGGAAACAGTATGTTTTAATCCTCATCCTTGCAAGGGAAATTTTCCTATTAGAACCACTGGATTTGAACAGAATATATAGCAGCTTCTACAGCAAACCCCTGAGCTAAGTAGTCAAGCAAAATCAGCAGAAGCCTTCTGTGAGCACGTGTGTGTATATGTTGAACTTGGTAGGTTTGGACTGGAGACCTGAATATCTACCAGATTTAATTTTTAAAAAAAATGAGATCTCACTAAAACTGTCAAGGCTAATTTCAATGGAAGTTTGTGGGGAGAATATTTAAAAAAAAAAAAAAAGGAAAGAAAAAGAATATTCTCCATCCTACTTTCCAGTCCTTTCTATTTTAAATGTAAAATGTGTGAGTTAGTTTTTGGATGTATCCCAAAGAATCATCCTTCCTAAAATCTAAGAGCTGTCTGTTTGCACAGTGATGTGATAACAGCGGGCAAAATATTTTCTTCTCTTCCTGAATTTTTCTACAGTTTATCATGTCACCTTTTTGTTGCTTTCGTAATGCAAAGAAAACTTGTCTAAGCCTTTTTGATATATTCCTCCTCTTTCTCACATTTGTCCTCTCACTATGCCTGAACTTTCCAATGCTTAATCATCCCTAATCCTCTCTCTTATTCTTTTGGCTTGCCATTTTCTTTTAGGCTGGGCAGTATTCTTCTTTTGATCTCTTTTCTCTTAAATGCTGACCTTCCAAAATCTTGTTTTGCAAAACATCCCCTCTGTTTCGGATGGGATGTAGCAACTACAGATAATCAGGAAAAAGAAAAGGTTAGTGATTTGTCATAATCATTTACTTATGTGCAGTCCATTAAGTAAAGGAAATATTAAGGTGCAGTTTTGCTACCACAAAAGAATTTGTAAGATTCATTGATTTTTCTTATCTGCCAAGACTGCAGGGAAACCACTTATTTTCTGTCTGGTAATTCTTCAGATGCAAGAATAAGAAAGAAAAGGGAAAAACACAGAATGGGGAAAGAAAAAAAGTAATGCTTCAAGGCAGGAAATAAAAAATACTTCTTTTTGCCAGGAATATTTCAGAAAGTTGTTTTTGTTTTGTTTTGTTTTTGATGATGGGACTAATTACCTTCTTAGTGACTCACAAAACTATCAATTAAACAATAAACTCGCTGGGTAGAATTCTAAGTACAAAGAACCATGCTACCATTTCAAAGAAAATCTTTATTTAAAAAGTACCCCAAAAGCAGAACTGATCTGTTTGAGACATCGTAGAGTTACAATTTACTGTTGTACTGGCATTAATGCTATAAACATGAGTTTGACAATGTTGAAAAAGTTCTGAATAATCTCAGCACTGTAGAAGAAATGTGAAGATTCCTGATTTCAGCATATATAGCTCTTCTATGGTTATCCTCACAAGCTCACATTTGGATGAGGAATGGGTTGTAGCCATTTAATGGAAATTTTTTTTTTAATTTAAAATATATTTTGAATGTATATGCCTACAGGCTCTGTCTTGTAGTATGTTCAAAACTCCCCTTGTGCTCAATGAAATTTTAATGATAAAAGATGTGTATGTTTTTAATCTTGAAATTCCTATTTTGTTTATTCAGGCTGGTTAGACTAGAGTTTAATTTCAGACTTGCAAGCTCATTTTCAAATGGAAGTCTATACAGAGAAAATAATCCATTTGCTTTTAAAAATAAAGTGTTTTTAAAGTGCTATAGAGAAGCAACCCAAATGAAAACACCACCTTTGCTTCCAAAATGACATACTTCATAACTGTTGAAAAAGAAGACGTATATCTCTGCAGAAATTAATGTCACCCAGCAGAACTGAGATCTGCTGACGCTGGCTATCTCCTCACAGCAGTGGAGTCAGTGGCAAAGCTCTATTGATGTCAAATGTGTCCAGATGCCTCCAGTATGCCTCTATTCATAGCTGTTCTGGAAATAAAAACACTCAAGCTCCCAGTAACTTCATTGAGTTGAAACATTCCTGGGGAAAGGAGTAGAGTTGGCACAAGGAAGGACGAGAGCACAGTGCTGATGGCACCAGCAGGTGTTAGTGGCTCTGCCAGAGGCAGTGCTTCTTTCTACGTTGTCTTCACCTTTGAAGCATGTGAAGTTTAATGTTTCTTATAAGTTAATAATTACAACTATTTTGGTTATTATTTTTAGTTGTGTAAGAATTCAGTTGCTTTTTAATCTGACTGCTTATTGGCCCAAAGTGATTTCTATCTGCAATAGGTCCCAGAGTATATGGTGTATAGACAGTAATCCATTGAACAGGTTTTATTCTTCTCCCTTCTAATCACATAATAATTTCTTTCTTTAGTCTGCCACTTCTCTGCTGGTAAAAAATATCTCACCAGAAAGATGATATAAATAGCTAATATGGCAGGAGATGGACTTACCAGAAGCCACTTCAGTAACATGAAATATGACAAGGGGTTGTTGATTGAAGCTGTGGGTTAAGAAAGAATTAAGACTCTGCATTAGATTGTTAGTTGTGTTGCAGATATCATCCTATCTTCTCTTGCTGTCTGCTTTCTATGGCAAGCAGACTAAATCTGCTTTTTCATGTCAGGCTTTTACCAAACCCTGCAGATCAGTAACCAGTAAGGGATATAGCATCCCATGTGAGGAATCTACTGTTTTCAATGAAGTTACTGTAATACCCTTTGTGTTATTATCTCATATTTTATATCATAACAGCTGGTTTTTATTTTTAATGTATCACATTATGCAAAATTCACCACTGAATTGTGAGCAATAAACCTTGCTCCTTATTCTGTAGTGACCCAAGTACTAAATCTTGATATTATACATGTAAATCTATCAGATTCTTGTAAAAATATATGTATATGTAAAAATATACAGATACACATGCATGTGTGCAAACATCAGTTGCTTAAGGGATAAATCCTATGAAGTACTAATACATTAGCCTTCCCTTAGCAAAGCACTAGCTGCACTCTTTACTTTCAATGTATGTATTAACTATTGAAAGTTAAGCCTGGCTTAAATGAATGTCTGATTGGAGTCAAAGTTCTCAGTTTCTTGCAGGATGAAATATTTAATTGCATGGATCGTGGTAGCAATTATATAAATTAGGTCAATATAAAAGAGATTATATTCTTTTTTCAAAGATTTAAATAATAGCACAAGTTTTATTTAAAAAAGAAAGTAATCTCAAGAAGCAAGCTAAAGGCTGCTGTCTGGGTCAAAATAATGTGTGGAAGCCAGTTGCGATGATTTTGTGTCCCTCTTTGCTCTCCTAAGAGAGCAGCAGGAACCCAGGGCGTATGAGACTGTTTACACTTTTTTCAAGGCTGCAGGCGTGCTGTTAGGGGATGCATCTCACTGGCTTTCAGCATTTGATGGCTTTGTTCTTTCATTCTGATGAGGCATTAAATACATGTTTCAAATGTTTGTGCTAACTAGGTAGGTGCTT